TCTCCCCAGCTTCCAGGCCACTCGGGAGCCCACCTGCGCCCCTCGTGAGAAGCAGCCCAGGAAGATGTCGCCTTCATGAGCACCCCATCTGGAGCTCCACAGTAGGGACATCTGTGGAGCCGGCCCCATCCCTCAGCCATCCTCAGGCACCTTTAGAGCCTGGGACAGTCACTTCCTCGGCGAGGCTACAGTAGCCTCACATGCACGCCACGGGCAAGAAAGTGCCCCACCCCTCCAAGAGGAATGGCAAGCTCACATCCACGTCAAAGTGTGCACACGCGTGTGCGCCACAGCTTCGCTCACGAGAGCCAAAAGGCTGAAGCCGCCACGTGTCTGCTGATGGACAGCGGATGAACACAAGGACCGTTCACACAGTGCAGCACGACTCAGCCACAGAGGGAAGGAGATCCTGGCGCAGGCTGGGACATGGGTGCGCCCTGAAGATGCCACACCAAGTGAAATAAGCCAGACACGAAAAGCCACACAGACCCTGGGTGGTTCACTCATGAAACATCCAGAACAGGCCAATCCAAACCAGACCAGTCATAGCCAGGGGCAGAGGGGAGCAGGGAGCTGGGAGTTCCAGCTAAGGGGCGCATGCTGCTTTCTGAGTGATGACAATGTTCTAGTAGGCTACACAACTCTGGGAATATACTAGAAGCCACTGAGTGGGTGGACTGCAGGGTACGTGAACTTCATCTCACTAAAGCTGTTCTTCAAAAATAGAAAAGAGCATCCCAAGGCCAGTGCTCTCTCAGATCACTGCAGCCACAGGCCTCCTGCTCTGGGGGACCCACCATGGGCAGGCAGGGATGCCGGGCGGTGCTTGGCTCATGCCACCTGCCCACTCGGCCAGACCTGGCCAGGAGCACCCATCAAACCCCAAGGAAGAGGATGACAGCCCGGCTTTCCCACCTGGCCAAGCTGACTTCCTCAATCGGGCGGTCACTCACTCACTCATTCACTTAGCTAATAGGACTGACGGTTGCATGAAAGGTGGGAGGTGGGAGGGCAGTCCCGAGATGGCAGCCACTACAGCTACCTTCAAGGGGCTGGCCTGCTCCAGCCTGTCCTCACTTTAAGCCCTGGAGTGGACCAGGAGGAACCGCTGTGTCCCTGGCCTTCAGTCCCTGCTGGAGGCCGTTAAGTTGGGAACCCCAATGCAGATGGATGACCAGGAACGTGACTTCAGGCTCTAGACTGCAGAGGCGTGTGTTGGCTAGCTTGAGGCAGGGGGGCCCAAGGAGGTGGGAGGGGGCAGGACGGGGCAGAGGAGGAGCCCGGGGAGCCAGGGCCAGGAAGAGCCTGCTCCTGCCCCAGCGCCCAGCTGCCCATCTGCCACCAGGTACAGAAGTGATGCCGTTTCGAGACGGGACGCTATCAAGCCGCCCCAGGAACACCGCCAGCTCCCGCAGAGAACCAGATGCCCACAGGAGGGAGGGTGGCCAGGGGGTTTCTGTTCCATTCCGGCAGCTTGGCTTACCTGGAGCTGCCAGGGCATGGGCTCCTGTGGGCTGGAGAGCTGGGCCCATCGTGGCTACAACTCGTCAGCACAGACAAGCGGGGCCATCCAGCTCTGAGCACAGCCTGGTGCGGTCCTGAGGGCCCCTCCACCCCTTCCCATGCACGCAGTGGGGCACTGCCTGGACCTTGCATCACTCCGGCATGGCAATAAAGGAACATCAATGGGGACACGCGGCAGTGCTGCCGGCTCTCCCTCGTCCTGTTGCCTTTGTCTCTGGCTGCCCCCGACCCTGCTCCCAGTTGGAGATGTCCACAAGGGGTAGGGCTGTCATGTTGGGGCGACTGAGGCAAGGCCGCAGGCCCGCTTGCCATCTCTGGGGTCAGGGTTCCTCTCCCACTCCTGCCATGCTGAGGATGTCCAGACACAGGTGGGAGTGGTCTTGTCAGCCTTGGGAGATTAATCTTTCCGGGCGAGTTCCTTCTGCAGGAAGAGCCTGTTTGGGTTGGACGGGGGTCTTGCCCAGGTGTGGGGGTGGTGAGGCTGACGCCCAGGCCAGAGGGGCCCTGTGAGACCCTCTCTGGTCCCCATGCATGAAAGAGCCTGTGTTAGCACATGAGCCACTACAGTGGGGCCCTTGTACTGGGGAAAAGACAGACCTGCCCAGGTGCTGGTCCCTCCCTCCCCGAGCCTCCAGGCAGGAGCGGGTCATGGGAGCTGGCACGTCCAGCCAGTCCCTTCTCTGGGCTCTCAGTGTGCCTGGGGTGGTGGGAGCAGACTCCCGGCTGCAGCCCTGAGCATCCCACCCCACCCGGGGCCCTTCCCGTGGGCCCTCCCCGTACGGCCCTGGTTGGCTATCCCAAGCTCAGCTCCACGGGTGCGGCATGCAGGCCTCCGGGAGAGAGGCTGAGCCTTCCAGACCCCGAGTGGGGCCGCCTGCCCACCCCAGCCTGTTCCGCGCTCCTCGGCAGCAGGCATGTGAGGTGGGTGTGGATGCTTCGGGGAGACTATCCAGCGACATGGCTGGGTCACGCACACGTGGCTGGGACAGAGACCTGGGGGCTTCAGTTCAGACACCTGGCTCAGACCAGAAACCACTGGTCAAGTAATGACCCAGAAAGTGGGGTCTCGCGTGAATTACCCGCCCCAGCCGAGGACCGGCAGCCCCGTTTCTCACACTGGACAGCCACATGCCCGTCCCTATCCTCCATTCTTCGAGAAATGCGCTCAGTCTCACCCCCGCGCTCATCCCTGCGTTTGGTCTTGCCTCCATCTAGGCACTCCCTAGGACTGGGCCCAGGCCAGGCACTTGGCAGGCCCTTAAGGCTATGATCTCCCCTAAGGCTCTGCCCTCAGCCAGCCCCTTTCCAGGGTCAGTGGGCTGCCATGCAGAAGGATGCCCAGTGGCAACTGGGGAGTGGGGGAGCCCCCAGCGTGCTGTGCAGTAGCTCCCCAGCCCCTTTCTCCTTCCTGGCAGTGAGGCCTGTGGGAGACATGGGGGCTGCAACAGGACAGCACAGGCCAGGGTGAGATGGGGCGGGAGGAGGGTCTGGAGGCCCAGGCGGCTGGAGCCAGAGTCAGGGCTGCGTCTGGGGGTGGCGGCCGTGATGGAGTGTGCCTGGTGCGCTGGCCGCCAGCAGGGCTGCTAACAGCCTGGCCCCTGTGTGCGGGGCTGGACATGCCGTGGATGAAAGATGGGATTCTTCTTCCCCTGCCGTGAGTTAGGGTCCTCAGAGCTCTAGGCCCCATGAATTATTTCTCTAAGGAAAATACAGTTGACTCCATTTCTCCGGCTCCACTTCCTGACCTTCCCCATCCCTTTAAATCAACACTGAAGGGTGAGCTTGCCCGGGCCTTCACCCCCTAGCCGAGCGCTTCCCCCGCTGCATCTCATCCTGCCTGCACTCTGGGCTGGGGGAGGGGAGGCTGAGCCAGCTGCCACGCCATCTCCTCTTGCAAGACCCTTGTAGGCTGCCCACGCAGAAGCAAAGGCCAGGACCCTCACTCAGACCACAACAGGCCCACGCTGCGGATCGGGGTTGGTCCTGAGGCCACGTGATACCTGTGTCCTCCCGAGCATTCGGATGGGGAGGCTCACACGGCAAACCCAACTTTGTGCAACAAAGCCGTGCCGTGGGCTTTCCCCCAGACGCCCAAGTGCAGCTCCGTCCTGGTCAGGTTAGATGGTTCCCAACGTACACGTGGGCCCTGGCTTTGATTCCCAAGCCGGAGCTGCCTCCACACAGCAGGGAGGGGGGCCTTGCTCTGGCCTCCATGTTGGGTTTTCTGGGGAAGCACTGGAACCAAGGGCAGGTTAAGAAAAACAGAGGACCCCCCAGGCCTCTGGAACTCTTTCTGAGAACGCACCAGCTGCTGCACGGAGACGGGGCCAGAAGGGGCTCTGGAGGCCATGGGCCTCACCAGATGCAGGGGTTCTGGGAAGAGGGGCTGGAAACCATCCGGGCTCCTTGGAAGGTCCTGAATAATACATCATTAAAACTAAAAATCAATTCTGTATCCAGCTCAGGGCCCCCTGGAGGCTGCCCCGGCCGGCCTGTCCAGCTTTGCTGGAACAGGAACCCAGGCCAGTCTGCCAGGTTCAGGCCCCGTAAATGGCGGCCGGGCAACCCCCTTGCTCCCACAGGCCAGGCCAGGCTAGGAGAGGCAGCACAGCGCCTCTGGCAGGGCCACAGGCTTCCATACAGAACCCTTTAGACAAGAATCAGAGGCAGCAGCTGCGCGTCCTGACCTGCCCTGGGCCGACAGAACGAGGGTCTAGACCCAGGCATCCACCCAGACACTGCGAGGCCACCGGGCACCTCCAACAGGACCCTCAAGCCCACCCTCTCCTCTCTCAAAGCCCACAGAACTGTTTTGCAGTGGTTGCTGCCCACACCTTGCCCCCTGCCCTAGTCACCTTTCCAAGCTGCGTCCTCCCTGTCCCCTAGGCCCAGCCCTGGGCCCATTCCCGACGGCACCTCTCCGCCATGGCTTTCCTGAGATGCTGCTGCCCTTGGATCCCTTCCTGGCCCTTCTTGGGTCCTTGCTGCCAACTGTGCCAAACTGAAACCCACAGGCGGGCCAGAGTTCCCTCACCAGGCCCCCTGAGGGCTGCTGACCTGGCAGCCCCTCCCCAGAACTTCTGTCCAGGCCAGGCTGTCCTCTCACCCAGCGCCGTGCCGTGCTCTTGCGGACCCCTCCACTCCTCCCGACGCCTCCGGGCTCAGGCTTTGAATGTTAGCGCTCAGAACTATCTTCTGGGTCATTTCACCTGCGTGTCTCATTCCCCACCTGGCATGCAGCTCCGAGGCTGTGTGTGGCCCTCTCTCTGGCCAACCCGCCTCCCCAGCATGGGACCACCACGTCTCCAGTCTGCCCACCCTCAGTTCCTTGTCAACTCAGAGACCCGACCCCGGCCGCGCCCACTGCCCAGACCCTGGAAAGCAGAGCCAGGCCACGTGGCGCTCAGAGTTGGGGGGTGGCTACTGCGTGTCTGGCACCCAGAGACCCAAGAGAAGAAGGAAACAGAGTTTCCTGCTCTTTCTTCTGCAGGAGGACTTTTATTTAGGTGTCAGGGCTGCTCTACCACAGTGCCCACCTGGGGCACACCCCTGATGGCCGCCCCGTCACAGCCCGAACCAGTTGGGGATGCCGCCCCGCCGAGGGTCACTGCTCTGCCTCTGCCGCCTCTCCTCCGTGAGCATGTCGTGGAGTCCGTCGGCAGTGCTGCCTTCGGGGCTCTGGTCTTTCTCGGGAAACAGATCTGGGAACGTGAAGGTCTGTCCGTGGGCCTGAGGGGGAGAACAAAGGCTCCAGCCAGAGCTGCAAAGACTCCTCAGCAGAGGGGTCCGTGGGGAGCCTCATGCTTTCTGGCAGCCCCTTTCTGCCGGCGCCGGATTCAACTGCTCAGAGGCACCTCCCTGGGCCTCCTGAGGCAGCGTCCCTGCCTGGAATGTAAGCAGCCCTACAGCCATGGCCCCCAGTGTCATGCCGCAGCCGAGGCCACAGCTCCAGGACAGGGCTGCTTTCCCCACCATTGTCTCTTTAGGGCCTGGTGTCTGCCCCTACCCTGGGTGCACCCATTTACTAGCACAGGGCCACCTGGCTGGACTGGGGGGGCAGGGACAAGGCATGGAAAAACATGACACAAATCACGTCTGGTACCACGCTGAACCTATCCATCCAAAATGCCTCAGGCTGTACGCACATTAAAGCTCCCCCTCCTCCCAGCCCAGAGCCTGGCAATTAAAATGAACATCACGTACGAAGAAACATGCACGTGCAGCAGCTGATAAATCAGGACCGGCTCTGCCAATTAACTGGTCTTACATCTTTTGCTGAGAGTTCAGAATATGTCTGTGTTGGCCAAGCCCCAGCCCAGGCCACGGCATGTGGCTCGGGTTCACGAGAAGGAGGGGATACTGCTCTTTGGGGACCTGAGCAAATATGAGGAGCCATTTTAACTTGCTGATTACTAAGTAGCTCCAAAGATAAGGGGCAAGAGCAGAAAGAAAGAGCAGATCAGAGGAGAGGGAAGAGAAGGGGGAGGAGCGGGCCGGCACATGTCGGGGCGGCCAGCCTCCCTTCTGTTTCCAGACAGGTGGAGGAGGAGTGAGGATGGCACCCGAATCTGGAAACCTTTAGTGAGTAAAATCAGTCAAGTACATTTGGCTCTTGCAGACCCTTGTTGTGTAAATAAATTTGGATGTGGGCAAGCAGCCAAGTATGATCGGAAACAGGCCCAGATTCCACCCTGCAAGGGAGGTGGATGCACCCCGATCCCTGGCAGGGGCTGGTGGGGAAGGTGGCACTGCGTGCGCTACAGCCAACCTGCAGGAGGATCGGCTTACACAGCTCTAAACTTTGCGTCTTTTAAGATACCGAGGGACAATGGTTTACATGTGAGGCTGATTGCCCTGAACGGGAGGTTTACCTTTACTATATGGAGGTGACTCTGCTAGTTTTCTGAGGCAGTCAGAAATGACAGTTTAAAACACAAACATGGCCATTTGTCATGGTTTCTGGAAGAAATGGGGGAAGCTGGTGAGAGAAAACCTGTTTCTTACAGAAGACAAACACCGTTTGTGGATGCCAAGCATGGTTTCCCAGGGGGTTCCCCTTTCTAGAAGCGTTCACCTTGTACCTAAAAAAAAAAAGCCCTTGATCCTTCCAGAAAGGACAGAGACAGTTGATCGGAGTAAACAACAGGAAGAGAAAAATGTCCTAATGACAAGTAAACACGGCAGCCCTGCCTTCAGGAATCCCAGGGCACCCTGGGGGCTGCTACCCGCATGCAGCCCGGAGCCCCGAGCCCGGAGCTCAGCCCAGCTGGCAGCAGCGGCTTGTTCTGGAGTTGCCTCTCATGTCCTGCGCCCTTCATTCCTGCGCTGCTCAGCGTCCACACGGGCCTCGGGGCAGCGGGCGGTCAATGGTCTTTTTGTTGTGTGGGTCACTGAGGCGCTGGTTACAGCTCCCAGGACTTTGGGCCAAGGAGATGCTTATCAGGTTGAAGGAGAAAAAAATGTGGGACTCCCACCATGTGGGACAGGGTCTTTCCACAGCGGCCAACTCCAAATAAAGTGGATAAATTTATCTTTCTAATGCTCCCTCCCTGGGCTTTGCAATTAGCAGTGATTCTAAGCCCTGGCGCAGGGCCCAGGGGGACACGCTGAGCAAGGTCTCAGCAGACACGAGACAGGAAAGGGCCTTGAGAGTCCCCTTTGCGGGGGACAGGGACCAACGGCTGTGGCCCATTTCTAGGCTGTGCAAAGATCTGCCGGAGTTCAGGAAGGGGGTGAGGACCCGTTACAAATTTTAATTCTGGAACCGGAGGAACCATGCCCAACAGGGACCCTCCAGGCTCCCAGTTGCCCTGCCCTGTCTCTGGCTGCCTGGACTTCACAGAGGGAGAACGACACACGGGCAGCAGCTGCAGACACCGGATCCCGGCGCTGCTGGGTTCAGTTTTCATGGGAGGTGGGGCCCAGAGGAAAAACGCAAGGGTTCGGATGACTCGAATGCCACTTGTAACCGTAGCTGCCTCTGAAGTGCCCGTGGCGGTGCCGGCACACGGGATGTCCACCCACATGCCATGACAAAGACAGATGGGCCCAATTGACACTGAGCACACAGAGGCCTTTATGAGGCCAACGGCTGCTCTCCCCACCTGGATTGGCTGATTTCATGCACAGCAAATATTAGGCCAAGTTATTCCGGGGGCCCCTGTTTAGAACAACAAATGTGACTGTTTTTCAGAAAAGCTGCCATGTTAACTTGGCCTTTTGAACAAACTGCCTCCTTAGCCCCAAAGTAAGCCGGCTGGCCCAGGAGGCGGTTTTCACAATAGTGTTACTGCCATCTAGTGGCAGGGGCCACTGGCTCAGCCTCCAGGGACCCTTTACACCGGAAGACAGCCCCATCCCCACCCAGTAAGGCCAGCCGCAGGGGCAGAGTGGGGAGGCCCAGGAGGCGGCTGGGGCGGTCTGTAGACATCTTGGCCCAGAGAGAAAGTGCCTCTGGGTTTGCCTGGGACTCAAAACAAAGAGCCCGAAGAAAGGCTTTGAAACTGTGGGTCTCACTCCTGACAAGTCTGGGTTTCAGAAACTAAGGCCCAGGCAATGTGGGGTGAGGGTCCTTCTTCCCCAGAGCCCCTTCAGGACACATAAGCAAGCACCTGCTCAGAACCAGCCTGTTGAGCCCTCACAACTCTGTGGGACTGCTACCCTGCAACGCAAGGCACGGGCCTCGGCCAAGACCCCAGCCAGCCAGACCTGCCTGGGCACCAAAGACCTTTGCCCTCAGGGGCCTCAGACTCTGCCTCCGAGTCTGAAACCTGGCCAAGGACAGGCTCTCCAGAGGCCGGGGCCTCCCATGCTCAGACACCCTAGTGTGTGTTGGAGCTGAAACCCACTAGGCCTGTGATGGCTGCTTTTGCCCAGAGAGAATTCAAACTTCAAAATCACAAAATGGCTGGACGCTGAGATGTTCCCCATGCGCCCCAGCGCTCACGTGCTCCCAGCGCCACCACTGACACCCCCAAGGCCGTGACGGAGCGCGACCTTATGTGGAGCCTGCCTCTGCACTGCGGCCCTGAGATCCGGCCTCATGGGGGCTCCCTGGGCCCCGGCGCAGCGTCTCTGGCACAAACATCCCCAAGGACACAGTTGCAAGGAGCCCCTCGGAGGCCCCGCCGGGGCTGGCCAGCTCACACGCACCAGCTGCACGTAGGCGACCTTGTAGTCCGGCTTCTTGATCCTCACGTTTCTGTGATCTCTTCTCTTGTTAGAGCCTTCCGGAAGGGAGCGAAAAAACCAAATCAGAACTTTAAAAACTTACATCCTTAGAGGCCAATACCACTAAAACGAATCTCTGCTCTCTTAAAAATGCAAAGATGTTTTTAAAAACTCAAAAAGGCAATTTCTCAGGGAAATGGGCACAGAAATCAAATGAGCCGACACAGCAGGCTCGTCCCATCTCCGAACAGAGGCCAGCAGGCTCTCAACAAAGGAGCAGAAACAGCACCAGCCAGAACACACAACAGGGGCTTATGGAATAGAGAGCGCTTTGCTGCCCAGCCTCAGCCACTGCAGTCCCACCTCGGAGTCAGGGCTCAGAGTGGACCCCAGGCCAGCCCAGTTGAATTCCAATCCCTGCTCTGGCATGTAAGCACCGTGTGACCCTGACAAGTCACCCTGTGCCTCAGTTTCCATGAACCAAGTCAGACCAAGACCCCCAAGCAGTGGCTGAGGCTGTGGCTCGGCGAGGTGGGCGTGTGGTACAGATGGGCACACCACCAACAGGAGACCCTCCTGTGGGCACTCACCATACTGCACCCGTGTCCGCACGGCAGCCACGGGCACGTTATAGATGCTCTCGAGGTAATTCCTGAGGTCTACCCTTGTCATTCTGGAGGCGAAGGAGAGAGAAAAGGGCATCTTAACCAGGCTAGGCCAAAAATATTGTCCCAGACAAACAAGGGTGAGAGGCCGACAGACCAAGGCCCACAGGGGGCAGGGAGGAAGGCTGGGTGCTGGTGCCCGGCACCAGCGAGGCCAGGCAGCCCCAGCAACACTAGTGCTACTGGTCACAAGGCTCCCTACTCTGGACACACCAGCATGGGGTGGCAGTGGCACAGACCCCAGGGAGTGGGAACACTGCCCAACCAACCCCTGGCCTGCTCCACAGCCCCCCATGGCTCCCTACTCCGGGCAAGTGCCTGTGCGAGGTGACAGTCTCCGCTCATTCCTGGCTGGCAGGCGCCACCTCGTCTGCCCTGGGGCCCGTCGGCAGCACCGGGGTTAGGCCTGCTCTGCGGCTGACGGTGCTCTACGGTTCTAGGAAGTGCCTTCTGGAAAGGCCTGCCTGGGATTCGGTGCGTTAACTGCATGTTCCCTCTACTGTAGAACCTCACGGTCACTGTCAACTCAGCTTCTGAGCCTCTGCAGGTGGTACAGTCCTGACCTCTGCCCTCAGGCAAGCTCACGCTGCTGTCTCGCCTGGCTCGCGCCAGCCCCGAGCTGGGGACCTGTGATCTTAAACCCTGCAGAGCGGCACCCCAGTTTTGTTCGCAGGGACTGTGCATTTCTCTGAAGGTCAAGGAGGCTCTTCTGAGCGGTTCTGCACATCATGGCCTGCTCCCAACCCAGCCTCCCAGGGCGCCTCTCCTAAAAACAAGTTGCAAGAACTCAACAGAAGACGTGAGCACAGAGGTCCAAATTTTAAGGCCTCCAGTGAAGCCCTCCCCAGCGGGAGGGCGGCGTGCAGCATGCCTGCTGGGCTCCCCACCTACCGGCACTCCATCAACACTTGCCGGGCAGGGCTGCCTGAGGTGCCTTCCCAGCAGGAAGAGCTAGCACATGAGCTGAGTTGTTTAACTCAGGACCCAGGCCCCCCGAGGGCGCTCTCCCAACCCAGCCAGACTCCTTCTGGGTTCACTCCATGGGGATCCCCCCGAGGGCGCTCCCCCACCCCAGCCGGAATCCTCCCGGACTCACTCCATGGGGATCCGGAACTGCACGGTGTCCTCGGGTTGGGCCACACCGGGCCGCACCAGCTGAATGAAGAAGTTGGTTCGGAACACCCGAAGTTGTGGGCCACCCAACTGGTACAGGGGGTACCTGTACAGAAGAGATTGGGTCCACGTCACACACTTAGCCACGGCAGTCCGACATGCCAACCCTGCAGACCTCCGAGTGTCCACTAACAGGGCTGGCAGGAAAGGGGGTAGCTAACCCTGCAGACCCCCCCTACCCTGCATGTCCACTCACAACAGGGGCGGTCAGGAAAGTGGGTAGCTAACCCTGCAGACCCCCAGGTGTCCACTCACAACAGGGGTGGGCAGGAAACGGGGTAGCTATCAACAGGTCACCACCCAAGGACACAGAGGTCCCCACAGCCCCTTTCTTACATGGGCCTGCCAAGGAGGACAGCCAGTCCCTAGCATTGACTCAGGGAGCACGGGCTGTTGACCCCCAAGGTCAGACTTTAGAAAGGGCCAATGAACAAAAATCAGAACCCCGCAGAGAGCATTCCCCCAATAAGCTGGTGGCAACGCTCAAAGACGTGCGTCGGGGCACTGATACCCCTGGGAGAGCAGACCCTCCGCGGCCGGCCCACTCTCCTGCTGCTCAGGTGAAGTGGAGCTGGAGAGGACCACACGCCATGGGACAGAAAGGCCAGCTCTGCACTCTCCTGGTGGCAGCAGGGCCTAGCTCCTCGGGATGGAGAACGCAGGCAAACCAGGCTCAGGCTCCTGGAAGATGGTGCTGCCAGCAGACTCTGGTTCGGTACACTAAATACGAGCTGACTGCCACACCCCACCACCCCGCTAGAAGCCAGCGGAGGCAGACTCTGATTTGGTACACTAAATACGAGCCGATCGCCGTACCCCACCACCCCGCTAGAAGCCAGCGGAGGCAGCTGGAGAAATGCCAAGTGGCCACCAAAAACTAGACCGGCACTCAGCCTGGGCTGGCGGGCCATGTGACAATCGTGCAGAATCTCTAGTCAGTTGGTTTTGCGCATTCTCCCATGTCCAGCTGGGTGGACAGGCGGCGCCTTTCTACTGCCCCCCACCCCCGTTCCATCCCCTGCCACTGCCCACACATCCTGGCTCTATTTGGGCCTCAGAGCCGGGAGGAGGGACACAGGAGAAACTCAGGTCTGCAGGGTCTCAGGGGATGTGGGGTCTGAGAGCCCAGGTGCAGGTCTTGGTGGAGGGGGAGCACAGGGGCTCTTCAGGAGTCTCTGGTGACCTATCTGAGGCACTGCACACGGCGCTGACCTTGGGGAGCACCCAGCAGCAAGTTAGAGAGAGGCTCCATAAGGCTAACGCTGCCCCAAGCCTCACATGAATTTCACACTGGTCTCTGCCTGTCTAGGGAAGATAAGGAGGAAGTGAGGGTCAGAGGCCTTGGGTGGGGTGTTCCTGAAGGGCCAAGAGTGACGGGCAGGGCTGAGCCTCTGGACCTGGGGGCCTGGCAGGGGCCAGGAGCTGCCGGGAGCTCTCAGAGGCAAGGCGCCTGTAGCAAAGCCAAATCACTAATAATGTCCACCCCAGGCCTCCTGATGACCACACTGACACGTGGCAGCCTGGTAGCTGGGCCAGTGGGGCTGAGTCTTCACTCCCCCAACCCCAGCAGAGCCTCCTCTTGGGCATGGCCTTGGCCCTTCCAAGCCTCGGAGTGCAGCCTTCAGGGGTGGGTGCCAATGAGAGGCCGAGAAGGAAGGGTGGGCTCTGGGTGTGGAGGGGCCTGACTTGTTTTACCCACAGGTTCAGGCTAGCCATGGCTACCCAAGGGGTTCACACATTCCCTCTGGTGACCAGCTATGGGATTGCAGGAGGGGAGACAAAGTTTGGGGACTCCCAGGAAACAGTAGAAAAGAGGGTACAACAGCTCCCAGGCCATTAATTGTCGAGTCTCCAGGCTTGGGGCCTGAAGGGCACACTTTGCTAAGGGTCTGAAGGGCCATGTGCGGGCTTGAGGTGAGAGGCTGGCAGGGGCTGGGCCAGGACTATTCATTGTCCTTGTTCTCATAGGCAGAGCCTCTCCAGGAGGCAGCGCGGGCTGTCTGCGCATGGAGCCCGCAGATCTGGAACAAGCTGCACTGTCCACACCCAGGGCCGCAGGACAGGGCTCTAAGGCCTCTCTGCAGGACTCAAACCCTTATGGGCCCACCAGCCCTCAGTTCCCTCAATCCCACTCTCCCCAGGGAGCACCCCAAGCACTCCCCATGGTATTTCACAAGCACCTCCACCGTAACCTATCTCAAGTAGAACTCTGACCTAACTTCTTCCTCAAAACACAAAAACCTGGCTCACTGCCACCAGCCTACCTCCCCACAGCCCCACGAGTGACTCACCCAGGATCCCACCCTGTCAGCACCCCCGCCCCAGCTGCATCCAGTCCACAGCAAGTCCAGTCAGCACTCCCTGCAAAGGCTCCCCAGCAACAGGAGTGTGTGCACTGCTGGCCGTGCGGGCCCCGCTGCCTCCAGGGCAGCCACACCTGATGTTTCCAGGGGCCCACCGCCCTTGGCCTTTCAGGAACACCCCACGCGGGTCCTCTGACCCTCACTTCCTCCTCATTCTCCAGGGACAGGCGAAGGGCCAGCGTGGAATTCACGTGAGGCTCAGGGCAGTGTAGGCCTAAGACCCTTTCTTCCTTGGTGCTGGGTGCTCCCCAAGGTCAGGGTCACGTGCAGCACCGGTCCCAGATGTCTGCTGAAGGAAGCCTCGTCCACTGAGGGTCCCACCTGCCACCCTCCCCTCTCTCCCCAGCTATGTGCAGGGGCCTCCAAAGCCACGCCCTGGCCTCTTGACGGTCTCTCTCCAGAAATACTGATTACTGTTCTCCAAAACCCACCCGGGAGCCCACATCTACTGA